AATAGATGAAACCTTATGGACAATAGTTGTAGATCCAACGGATAATAAATGAACACAAAGGTTGTAGAATGGGAGTGTGAGGTAAAAGATGGAACTTGAAACTTGTCCACTTGCAAGGAGGAGTGTAAGAGCCACTAATAAATAGTAACCCACAACCTTGGTTTTTATATATTAATTTCGTCGATAGTGTTTCGAGATGGGTTGTGAATTGGTGGTCCAAGGAAATGATTTGGGCGAAAGATCATAGACGAAAACGTAATATATAATTGTTGCAATAGGGCATGCAATGAACAATAGATGAAACCTTATGGACAATAGTTGTAGACCCAACGGATAATAAATGAACACAAAGGTTGTAGAATGGGCGTGTGAGGTAAAAGATGGAACTTGAAACTTGTCCACTTGCAAAGAGGAGTGTGAGAGCCACTAATGAATAGTAACCCACAACATTGACTTTTATATATTAATTAATTAATAATGGGAGTGTGAGGTAAAAGATGGAACTTGGAACTTGTTCACTTGCAAAGAGGAGTATGAGAGCCACTAATGAATAGTAACCCACAACCTTGGATTTTATATAGGGTAAATACAATATATTAGCCACAACTATTATGAAACGGGTAATTATAGCCACAACTATGAAAATTCAAATTATTAGTCATAACTATTGTTGCGGGTCAAGATATGGCTAACTGTCCGTTACTGTTATCAAATTTTTTACGGAGAAGGCCACGTCATCGACCGAGTCAGCGGGCACGTCGGAATGCTTTTAATTTATAACTTTAAAACATTAGAGTTTAGTCAGTATTACTAACGGAATTTATAATTTATAGTTGTGGCTATAATTCCCCACTTCATAATAGTTGTGACTGATATATTGTATTTACCCTTTTATATATTAATTAATTAATATAGTGGTTTCAGTTTCTGATAATCGAAGAACAGGTAAATTGTTTGTTTGCCTTTGCCACCATCATTGCAAATCAGGATCTCACTAAATTTGAGAATCCACTTAGTATTGTAACGATGCTTCAATTTAAAAGATTTGCTAGTGACGTTTAAATCGATATGCAATTTTTAACGATATCAAACTATTGAACCACAATTAACTATGATTGCATTACAAAATACTTTCGTCAACAACTTACTAATTCAAAGCAATCCAATTCAGTGAGTGACAATTACACGTCGTCACAAACAGTAAAAGAGCAATCCAATTTCCCAAGTTCTGATGTTCATGACAATTGCACCAAGAACCATATATGATCCTGGCCTGTACAGATATTCGGAACTGAACTCTGGTCCATTTCTTATGGATATGGTTAATCATACTCACCATTAGCGCTTGCAAATTTTAGAAAAGAAAAAAGGCAAGGGAAGGATGAACAGAACAGAACAGAAGTGCTACGACCATTTATTGATCGATTTCAACACATTTATTGGAAAACATATAGTGTATACCCACGCATGCCTAACCCACGACCTCAATGATGCAACCCCGACGACGTTCTTATTGCCGAAAACCACAACTCTCCTCCACATCAAACGAGAACTCAATGACTGCTAACTTTCACTTTACATGCTAGCCAGCTTAAGGGAGTTGGCCTTTTCTTGCAGGGTATCCAGCAGACTGTCAAAGCTCTTCTTGAATGAATCGACTCCTTCTGCCTCCAGCTGATCTCCTACCTGGCTCCAACCAATGCCCAGCTTCTCCAGCGCGCTATAGATCCCTTCAGCTTCCGACACACTGGAATCGATGGTCCTCCCAACGGTTCCATGATCGACAAATGCTTGAAGTGCTTGATCAGGCATGGTTGAAACCTACACCAGAAAAAAAGAGTGGGGAAAAAGACCCTTCATTATCACAAACCGTTGAACCCTTCAGCAAAACCAAGATAGTGGAAAACTCAGCTCAATATAATGGTGGACAGGCAGAGTTGAAAACCTACAGTGTCTGGTCCAATAAGGGGTGCCACATATAGAGTATCAGGGTAGGCAGGATTTTTCACGCTAGTTGATGCCCACAGCAGCCTCTGCTTCTTGGCACCCTTCTTCACCAAGGCTTCCCATCTTGGTCCAGAGAATTTCTTCTGGTACAGCTGATATGCCAGGGCTGCTTGAGCTACTGCAGCCTAAGACACAGTGCCCCCTCGATGAATAAATCAAAGCAATTCTCGGGATCCACAACATATCAGCATTCCAAGTACAGCAAGAATGAATTGATATTTCATTTACCTTTCCGCGGAGATCTAGTGCTTCTGGAGTTCCAATCTTCTCCAGCATTTTGTCAATGAGAGTGTCCACCCTACTTACGAAGAAGGAAGCAACACTCGTCACTCTAGAGAGGTCGCTTAAGCCAGATGCTTCGAGGCCATCCAAGTAAGCATCAATTACAGCTTCGTATCGAGCGAGTGAGAATATAAGCTGTACCAATGCATAAACACACAAAAAATGAACGAACATCAGACTAAGCGCTGTTACAGTGTTACTGCACACATCATGGCTCAGACTTTATACCAAAACTAGAAAAAATTTCTTAATAGAGAGACTTGTCATTAGGATACTTAATAGGCTATAGTCGTATTACTAGTAAGAGTAGACACTTGCAGAGCCTGTATTCTAAGAAAATACACCAACTAGAAAACAAACAGCTAAGAGAGAAGACAAGAGTCAACTTACAGTCACGTTCACACTAATACCAAGCGAAATGGTATCCTTAATGGAGGGCACACATGCAGCAGTAGCAGGAATCTTGATGTACACATTGGGACGATCCACCACCTTATGCAGCCATTTCGCGGCCTCAACGGTCCCTTGGGTATCATCAGCTAGTCTAGGAGAAACCTCAACAGAGACATAGCCATCAGCGCCGTCCGTTTGATCATAAATAGGCTCAAAGAGCTTGCACGCGTCCTGAATATCCTTAATTACGAGCTCCCAATATGCATTTTCAATGTCTTTCCCGGACTGTACAAGCTCCCTAGGAATCAGAAACAATCTTTAGATCAGTATCACTCCAATGAAAATCCACAGAAGAAAGCAACGAAGTTCAGCAACCGTATACATGTAGGAAATTAATGGGGTCCAACGCTGGACCCAGGAAGAGCCCACCATTAGCAAGGGGACATCAATACTATGCGCAGCAAAGGAACAAATTGCTAGAATCGACAGGGAATCAAAGTTAAGGCACAAAGTGTGAAGCAAGGCCAAAAGGGTAGTACTTGAACTGATCGTTGTAAGCGTTGGAGGATGAGATGGCCTTCTGGAAAATCTGCAAGCATAGGTTGAAGAAAGCCTATTAAGAAAACGGAAAAGGGTGGGAATACACAATAGAGACAAAGAAAGAAAGAAAGAAAGAAGCAGGCAGTTACCGCTGGGTTGCTAGTGACACCTCTAACACCAGTCTCAATCAAAGGGATGAGATCGGTCACAGGGCGGCAGAGGTTATCATACCAAGGGCTCTGACCCTCCCGCTCATAGAGATCATGAAGCGTAGTTCTCTTGGTAGGGCTCCCATTCCCCGCGGAAGCAGAGCACCTAACTCTGCATACCCACAAAGCAGCAGTGATCAGCAGCGACATAATTTAAAATAAGACAAACAATCCAACAAAAGGACAAGCACTTACAGAAAAGAGGGCGTCGAGGGTTTGATGGCGAAACGGAGCCGGAGAAGGGCCGAAGGAGGAGAAGAACGGTTGGGGGTGTGGATGGGGATGAAGGAAAGGTTGGGGAAGGAGGATGGCGTGTTGGGATGGGAAGATGATAGGAGAGGGTGGTGAAGATTGGAGGAGAGCTTGGAAATGGTTGCCATCGGGAGTTTGGAGGGTTGCCGGGTGGGATCAGATCGAGGTCGCCGGGATCTTCAGATAGCGGGGGTTGGTTGGTGGCCGGCGATATTTCTAACGTCTTGTGAAATCTGAAAGCGAGAGCGGATTTCAGAGTCGCGATTGATGCGATCGGTATGAACTCGAGATCAGAGGGCGGAGAAGGGAAAAAGGATATTCAGAAATTAGAAAGAGATGCCAAATCAGGGATTTTGAGGGAGAAGAGTGCAAAGAGAATAAGGGATGGATACGGCGGTGGAGATGACAAGACAAGACACAAGAGTTGAGAACGTAGAGAGGGGATATGACATATGAGCGCAGGGGTTTGGTGAGTCTTCTTTACCTAATCTTTTTCCCCAACAACGTATGTATAAGTTGGTACGTTGACCGAAGATGGGAAAATGAGAATCTGGCCTTTTGGTCTGTCCGATTCGTCAAATTTGGCCCACTGGCCTTTCGGTTTGTCCAATTCGTCAACTTTGCCCCATTTGGGTGGGAGCCAAATTCACATTGAGTGAGGCTCAGGAAGGGGCAGAGTCGCAGAGAGACAGACAGAGGGTAGTCGACGTTTAGCCTTCAATTGCTGTCATTATCATGCTAACACTAATACAAAAGGAGATTTCAACGAGAGAAAGCCATTGATTAACCAATTAAAACCATTAGTCTACCTAATCCATGATACATTTTTTTTTTTTTTTTTTTTTATAACGAGGAACACCCTCCACGGTCACCACATTTTGTGTTTTTGTGATGCCGTAGTGAGGCTAAACCCCGGGACCTCCGCCGGCGGTCCAGGTGATAGCGGGATGCCTCCGGGAACACCATGGTGGCGGTGAGGATCGAACCTGGGACCTTATGGTCACCAGTCCTCCTCCCTTACCACCAGGCTATGTGACCTTTGGCAACTTTAAACATATTACCAATATCACTTCCCCAGGTTGTGAACTATGACATGTAACTAGAGATTTGCCTTTAACCACAGTTACATAATTATTGATCGCTTCATCCGTTAATCATGATGAGGTCATGCGTACCTCAGAGATTTCATTCTCAAACTCATGACCAATGCAGTCAAAATTACACTTTAAAACTCAAAAACTTACACTTTTACATTTTTAAGTCACCAAAGCGCTTCTTAGTAGAATCACTCTTCTCCCTTATAAATCTAGTCAAAATCTACATTTTTTACTGCATTGCCCATGACAAAAAAATAACAACTTTGTATGAAACCTGTGACTCGAGGTAACTCATAGCCATCGCCGATGGCTGCCGGGATAAGCAACCAAAAACAACGTCTGGCCATTGACACGTCCACACAGACTAGTAAAGGATTGGAAAGAAACAACATTTCCAAGCACCTATGGTAGAACGAGCGGTGAAGAGATTGTTGAAGAGTCGAATCATTTTCGAATAACTTGAATAATAGCAGAGCATGTGAATGATGGCAGGGAAATGATTCTAAATATAACTATCACAAAAATTAATCCACTTTCTTCAGATAAATCCGAAACAAAACCAGAATGACCAAAATACATACTCCGAAAACTTGCAAAGATTTAATCCCTAGCGGAGATCATGCAGCAAACCATAGAAAACCAAGCTCCTGTTTAGGAAAACCAAATCAATATTTGATGGGAGCAATGACTTCCAGCTGGGCACCGAGCTTCTCATCGGCGGTCTTCTCAGCCTTGACCCTGAGCTTGGCCAACTGCTTCTTTCTCTCGTACATGACAGCTGACTTCTCCTTCCTCTTCCTCTCAAGCTCCTGTTGTGATATTAATGGAGATCAGTTCAAAATAAAGTATTGGCAACAATAAAGGATCCAACATCAACACCCTGTGTACAATTACATTGCAACTTAGTTGGTACATTACATACAAGCAACATCCATCATCACTCAGCACACAGCCAGCATATCAGAATTCAAAGCTAAACCAAGAACCCTGTTGTCTAAACCCACTATGCTCAGAAACTGGAGGTACTGAATGGAAAAGCCTAATCGACTGAATTCAGAAGCAGCATTCATACACAGGATTAACTCACTAGCTCAACACTTGGAAGCACAACATAATAATGGCATCAAATTGCATTGTATAACGGACGATCAACTTACAATTAAAAGAAACTTAGAACTTAAAAACGAGAAGCTTCTGCTAATACCTTCCTATGTTAGTCTTGTTGTCAGAAACACCAACGAATTGACAATGCAGTATGCAATACTTGAGTTAAAACAACTCGCTCATACACAAACGATTTACAATCTAGCCGCAATGTCAAATCAATCAGCGGAATAAAAGCTGCAATTACCTTAATGGTATCATAGTGATTCCATCCAACTTCAGAAGAGAGTTTGCCCAACAAGCAGTACTTATGACCACTCTGCAACCTCAAAACCCTAGCAAAAGGAGGAGGAAAGATCAGAATCACATGTCCCAAAACGAAACCCAAGCGAAATAATTTAAGAAACCCAGCAAAACACTCACTTGAGAGCGTCGGGGATCACCATCCTCTTAACCTTGTCGTACGGCGGCGGGACGCCCTCGTAGACCTTCAACCTGGCGAGGGCAGCCTCCCCGCGCTTGGTCTTGTGAGGAATCATGCCGCGAATGGTGCGCCAGAGGATCTTCGAAGGAGCGCGAAAGTGGATTGGCCCGTGGGAAGGCTTGGTGTTCATCCGCTTCCTCAGGAACCTCATGTACTTCATCTTCTGGCGAACCAGACCGCCGGACAGGCAAATCTCCTCGCATCGAACGACGACGACCTTCTGGCCGTTGAGGAGCTCCTTGGCAAGGATCGAGGCGAGGCGGCCGAGCATGTGGTGGCGGGCGTCGACGACCACCCTCTTCGCGCAGATTCCTGAACCGGACACCATTGTTGCTTGGCTCAGCTGATGCTGCTGCGGCGTTGATTTGTGGAAATGGCGCTAGGGTTTTGAGAGTCCGGGTTTGGGAGTGTATATATACGGTGCGAGTTAAAGGTTGTAGGTATGGGCTTCAATGAGGCCCAAGCCTGGCTTCGATTTGTAATTGACAACAGTTGGGCCATGGATTATCTTTACGGGCTTAGTTGGGGGCCTTCAAAACCCTTGGACTAACATAGCAGAAAGATTGTGATGAAGCTGATGGAAGGAAAGCTGCAGAAGTGATCCAGGAGGAGCAGCTGAAGAACACAGCAGACGTTTCTGCCTTCTCCTCCACCTAGCTTAAAGAGGAGGTTGAAACGGTGACGTAGAGATCAACACTTATCGTTAGGTGGAGATCAAGAGGCCAACCAGACGAGGACATGTGGCATTCTCTATTTCGTTTTAGTTTAAATTACAGTTTAACAGACATTTCACATTTTACTGTTTACTGCAACTTTACCTTTCTAAACGTTGGCATAAATAGAAGAATCAGAGGCCCGGCAATTAGGGATGGCAATGGGTCGGGTTGGGTCGGGTTTTGCCAAACCCAAACCCATGGGTTTATCTTTGAAAAAAACCCGGGGTAAAACCCACTGGGTTTGAAAAACTCAAACCCAACCCAACCCGTTGGGTATCCGCGGGTTCATGGGTAGCCACGGGTTTTGTCGTAAAAAATTTACAATTACAAGTTCTTATCAAAATTAAAGTCAAATATCAATTTCTCAATACAACTTATCCATATATAAAACACCATTCTAGAAAATTCAAGCAAATCACAAATTAACTATACAAATTGTTCAACACCAATCTAGAAAACTCAAGAAAATTGAAGCAAATCACAAATTATCCATAAATAACATGTTTAATTGAAAGCTTCTTCCTTTCAATTAAGTTTCTTTACTCTCCACTCCATAACATCAACTTCATTCTACACAATTAAAAAGAAAAAATTAGACATGTCTCCACAAACATAAATAAGATTAGTTGTTTAGAATATTAAATATACCGAAAAAATTAATTATATGGGTGGGCGGGTACCCACGGGTCGGGTTTACCTAAACCCAAACCCAACCCAACCCAGTGAATAGTGAACGGGTTTAAACCCAAATCCGGCCCAAAACCCGTCAACACGAATTTTACCCGCGTTGACCGGGTTGGGTCGGGTGGGTACCCGTGGGTTCGGGTTTTGTTGCCATCCCTACCGGCAATTTGCGGGTTTCCAAATAATCATTGCCCGCATTCTTGTTCTCCCTTACAACCAGTTGCAACCCTAGCAGCTTGGTTTCTCATATGGTATCAAAGCGGTGATCCGCTTTTCCGCGTCAACCCAACTCGATGAACACTCCACCCAGCAGCTCCGGCAGTAGTGATAGAGAGATCCCTTTTGGCAGCTTCAACCGCAATGCTCAGAATTAATAAACTCAGTGAACCCAGTAAACCCAGCAAATGCAGAACGATGCCCAAGCTCAGATCTATGCTGGTAATCATAACAATCAAGTGGGTAATGCGTTTGGAAGCCTTACTATATAAATCCAACTGAAAATCTAGGACAATCTATAATTTCAGAATTGCTAGATTAACACAATTATCATATGTGGCAAATGGTTGTACGAATGGTTCTCAAAACCAAGCATAAGATTGGGTTTATTGATGGTAGCTTGCCTATGCCAGCACGAACTCATCTTGAGTTCCTTTTGTGGGATGCTTCCAACACCATGGTGTTGTGTTGGATTCTGAATTCAATTGAAAAAGACATACGTCGTAGTGTATTGCAGCATGGAGTAGCACAAACTCTTTGGGATGAACTTAAGCAGAGATTTGCCAGTTGCAATGCACTGAGACTTGTTAATTTGAAAGAAGCTATAGATCGTTTTAAACAAGGAAGTCTGAGTGTGACTCAATACTATGTGCATCTAAAAGGGTTATGGGAGGAATATCTCCAGTTCAACCCCATTGTTGATTGTGGATGTGTGATAGCTAGAGTCAGACCTTGTGCAGCAGTTGAGGCTTTTAAGGAAAGGCAAGAGACTGAATACCTCATCAAGTTTCTTCGAGGACTCAGACCTGAATTCGATGTGGTGCAAACTCAGTTATTGATGATGAAGCCATTTCCTTCTGTGCAAGCAACCGTAGATGACATCCTGCAACATACAGAAGCTTAAATCTTATAAAGGGCATTCTAATCAAAGTGTTCACTTAGTGGCACTCGCAGCTCAGGGTGATAAGCAGAAGATCTCTAGTTCATTTGAACCTAATAAAGGTGGAAAGGATGGCACAGAGGTGGAAAGCAAGTTCTGCCGATACTGTAAAAAGAATGGCCACTTGAAGGAAGAGTGTTACAGACTCAAGAATAAGAAGGCCAAGATGGCAGGGGAGAACAGTTTTGATGGTTCTCTTTCTCAGTCAGACTCAGAGAGTAAAGACACAGGCTCCACGAGAAATAATTTGAGTCTAGACACCAAGATCAGTCCGGGTAGCCACTGGTTCACCACAGAGGATTCAACAAACTTAAATCCCTTTTGCAACAGTCTGACAGCATGAGTCCCTCACCACCTCTTTCACCTTCACTCAAACATGTTGCATATTCAGTCACTCAACACTTACCACGGTTTTCTAACTACTATGGTAAGTTTGTTCTATCTTCTCACAACCATTATGGTTTAATGGGTCTAGCACAAGTCTGGATATTGGACACTGAGGCCTCAGATCACATCTGTTGCACACTTTTTCTACTGACTGATGCTAAGCCTACAGTCAATCAATTTGTGTATCTACCAAATGGATCTAAGCTTTCAGTTAGCCATATTGGTACAGTTAGATTACAACCTGGCTTGTACCTTCAAAATGTGCTCCTGGTCTCTAGTTTTACCTTCAACCTTATCTCTGTTAGCAAAATTACCCATGACCTTCCACTTTCTCTACATTTTGAATCTGACTCTTGTCATATTCAGGACCTAGTGACCAGGAAGCATATTGGTTTAGCCAGACAGAATAGAGGCCTCTACCAATTTTTCTCCAACATTCCAGCCTTACCACACCATCACACAACAACCACTTACAACTGGCCACACCAATTTGAGTTATGGCATTGGAGGCTAGGTCACCCCGGTAAAGAAAGAGAAAGCCAACTTGTTGGATGTAATAGCTCCATTGTCAGACATTGTGAAACCTTCCATTTAGCTAAACAAAGGAAGCTCCCTTTTCTTGTTAGCACTAGTAGAGCACAGTCTGTCTTTGATTTGATTCATGTGGACATATGAGGTCCTTTAGCTGTTAAGTCCTATGATGGTTATTCCTATTTTCTTACAATTGTGGATGATCATTCTAGAGCTGTTTGAAAATACTTAATGAAGTTTAAGTCTAAAACTAGTCAGATTTTGGAAGCCTTTTGTGTGATGGTTAACAGGCAGTTTGGCAAGTTGGTTAAAGTTATTCGCAGTGATCAGGGGAGTGATTTCACATGGCAGAATTCTATTCCACTAATGGAATAGTTCATCAGATATCTTGTGTGGAGACTCCTGAGCAGAATGCTACATCGAACGAAAGCACCAACACATGTTAAATGTTGCCAGGGCTGCTTAGATTTCAAGCTGGATTGCCATTGATATTCTGGAGTGACTGTATCTTACATGTTGTGCATCTTATAAACAAATTCCCTCCCCAATTCTGAAGGATCTCAGCCCATTTGAACTTCTCTACCTTAAACCTCCTACTTTTTCTCATCTCGAAGTGTTTGGTTGTCTTTCCTATGCTTTTACTTTGCTTAGGAACAGGACCAAATTTAACCCCAGAGCTAGGTAATGTCTCTTCCTGGGTTTTCTTCCTGGGATCAAAGGTTATAAACTCTTTGATCTCCATACACATGATGTGTTTGTTTCTCGTCATGTCACCTTTTTATGAACAAATCTTTCCTTTCAAAACCACTACCCCACCTCTTGATCATCTTCTTTCTACACACACTAACTCATCTTCCTCATCCTCCACTCTTAATCATTCTCTTCCTATTCATACTCCACTCCCCACTGACAACTTCTTCCAACTGGTTCCTTCCCCAAACTCTCACAATACATCTCAGCCCCACTCTTCTTCATCCTCTTCTAGCACCAATACACCTTCCAGTTCTACTACCACCCTCACAACACCTCTCCTGTTCCTTTTACCCCTGTTGACGAGTGTCCTAATTTGCATTCTGATGGGGAAGAATTATGTGCTCAGGAACCTATTGAAGAAGGGGAGGATCCTAGAATGAAGAAACCTATCAGAAATAGAACCAAGCCTGCATGGCACAAAGACTATGTGTTCTCAGGTGCTACCAGCAGTCATTCAATACAACATTTTGTTTCATTTGAGCAATTACCTGAATCACACAAGTCCTATGTGCTAAGTGTTATGAATGCAACAGAACCTAAGTCTTATGCAGAAGCATGTTGACACGCTAAAGCACGACACCTAACAATGGCCAAGTGTAACCAATGAAAGGGACTGCAGTATAGTGGCACAAGTAATAAATATCGAATCCACGGGTCTCTAGAGTTAATATTACTCAGCTTCAGTTCATTATCTAGCAAACTAGATTAAGGATTGATTAACTAAACTACTCTACTAACTAAACTAAGTAAAACTACTAATTACAGTTTGGGAAATCACTTAGGTATGATTCCCCCTAGCTCCTCAATTAGGTCCAAGTTGCAATTACCTTTGGTTGATCTACTGTTGATTAAACTGCGGAAGATCCTAAATTAGCTTGGAATCTCTTAAGCTGACCAAGCCCTCTCAGCCCAACTACCCGGCAGACGACTAGTCTTCACCAGGATAGAAAGCTGAGGTTATGAACACAGAACTCCACTACTGGAATGAATTCCAGTACAAAGCAGTGAATTGATTGACTCTCGCACAACTAATTCACCACTATCAATCAAGGAAGCTCTCTTAACCTAATCAGATTCTATCTATCATAGGTTAAAGCAAAAATCAAGAGAATTTGATCAAGATTCAATTGACTCAATAAATCATGCCTCAATCGATTATAATCAA